TGAGCGAAGGTTGGTGATTGTCTCTGGCTCCGATCATAGTGATTGTGAGGGGTCTTGTGCCTTACCCGGCGGAGCGTGAAAGGTAACTCTAGTGGATTACTCATGTCATTGAGTTACCTCACTTGTGGGTAGGTTCTTGCGGTGTCCTATTGTGTGGACGAGGTTTGTGCAACACCTCTTAGCCGCCGAACCACCAAGTGTTGGTCGACACAACGGAGACTAGCGTGCCGGCAAGCACGTGAACCTCAAGAGAAAAATTGGTTGTCTCTTGCCCTTTGGTATTCTCCCGGTGATTGATTTAGTATTCATCTTGTGATTGGTGCACTCCTCTACACGGCGGTATAATCACCCTACTCACTCATTTATATTCTTACAAACTAGTTGTAGCAAGCTCTTTAGTGTAATTAGACTTGAGAGCTTGCTAGGTTGTTTTAAGTTCATCTAGTGGAGCTCTTTAGTGTAGCAAGTGTGAGAGCTCTTAGTGAGTAGTGACATAGCAAATTGTGTGTCTAGAGATCATAGCAACTAGAATTGTTGGATAGGTGGCTTGCAACCCTTGTAGAGCTAGAGCAAGTTTGTATTTCGCTATTTGTTATACTAATCAAATTGCTCTAGTTGATTTGTAGATTTTTAAATAGGCTATTCACCCCCCTCTAGCCATATTAGGACCTTTCAAAGGCGGTGCCCGGGCCTCCGCCTCGGTGGCGGTCAGAGCCAAAGGCTCCTCTTGGTGTCCCCACGCTTGGGCCTCTACTTTGCCATCGGTCCAAAGCGAAGGCTCCTCTTAGTACCCCTGCATGTCATCACACATGTGAACGTACAGTTGTTGTTAATTTGTATAAGCCTTCGCTACTCATATGTCTATGTCCCAACAAATACAGTAACAGTAAGAATATTTTCAACACAAAAGTTCTCTCAAGCAAGAGAAAGAAACATACCTTTTACATATATAGATTTAGAATATGTTCCCTATGCTAACCGGGTTCATTAGTTATGGTCAACAATCAATACGCGTCGTAAGATACATTGGTCAAGGTTTCATAATCACCTTATCCCACACAAATCATTCGGCTGATAGTTTCTGCGGCTGATAAGCCGGCTAAAGCCGTTTTGTTGTGAGAGAAAACCACTGTACCATGGCTGATAAACTTGGTTGATAAGTTCAAGCGAACAGGGCGAACCTATAACGATTTGTCACTTCCCTTATGAAAAATCAATTATATCAGAGCATTTATGGAGGCGAATACACTTTGAATTTGATAAATGCATTGCTTGTGAGGTATGTGTTCGCGAATAATTAGCAATATGTAGGGGTGGAGGTAGAACTGGTGCTCCAGTAGTGTTGTAGCTCCGGTCCATCATCAACAATCCTTGTTAACCACACTCCGCTAAGCCATAGCCTAAAATCGTGGCTTAGCCAAAGTCGAGCACCAATGTTGTCTGGCTAGCACATCACTTGTCATCCTACCATATCTAAATGTGGCTTCACCACTCGCGGTCTAAATCCAAATAAGCCCTTAGCTTCGATGGTGCATTACTTAAAGTACACTTGACACCCAATGGTTAATGATTCAACTATATATTTTGCTTCAATCCCCATGGCTTAAAATAGAGACATTGCTACCAAAGCATTAGGCTTAGACATCATGAGACACACCCTAGTGCCACTACAACCATTTGATTCGCCATAGATTAAGTGCTTGTTTGATGGGCTAAAAGAAAGGTCAATCGAGGTGTAGGCTAAAACTAGCAATTAGCCATCCAAGCATTGGAGGCTAATAGTAGGACTATTTTTTTGTTTACATATTTCTAGCCATTAAGCTATTAGCCGGCTAATAACTTCAGCTAGTAACTTAAACTAACTCTTCGTCCAGTACCGGATTGTAAACCGTTTTGACATTTTTTATTAGGGGCGAAGCCAGCTCTAAAATTAGGGTGGTGCACTGCTAAGGAAACATACATAATTTGGTATAAATACATGGTAAAAGTTAGTCTAGTTAGTGGTAATTTTTTTTTCTTTCTGTGGTGCATTGGCACCAGCCAAGCTCAACCTAACTTCGCCCCTGTTTTTTATGCTATGCATCTTAATATATGTCGCGTTTGGATGCATAGTAAAAATTGTGTTAGTTGAGAAGACCAAACAATTTATAATTTCGAATGGTGTGAGTACTAGTACTATAAACTATAAGAAGTAAGCGTATCTATAATATAAACAGGCTCTAGAGGGAAAACACCATTAATTACTCTATTAGGACAGACCCGCGCCTATCGCTATCACCACCACAGACCGCTGAAATATATCCGCGATAATGATTCTCCCAGATTATAGCTCCTCGCTTTGCCGAGACACGGCAAAGGCCAGCAGCTAACCACGACTTGTCTAATAATCCCTCCCTGGACCGTAGATGATTAAATTAAACTAAACTAGTACAGCGTCCCTAGATTTCCGGCAGAATAAACAAAACCGCGGGCAGCAGAGCCGATGCCAACCGAAGGGCTCGTTTAGTTCCTCCTTCGCAGTTTACACCCTTAAGTATTAAGGTCTGTTAGTCGGGCTTCTCTATCGGCTTTAGGAGTTGTTTGGAGCTGTTTTCTGCTAAACAGGGTAAAATGAAATAGTTTCACTGGTGAAGCCCCTAAAAACATGCTGTCACAGTGATTTAGGATGGGATGGAGCAAAAAAAAAAGTGGCTTCTCCCGGCTCCTCCTCTAGTCCCCTAAAAGCATGCTCTTACAGGGGAGTTATTTTGTCAAATGGTTTATTAAAACCGCTTCAGCTCCACTAGTGGAGCTGTTCGTGGAGCTGAAGAAAAAAAAAATAGCTTCACTAGTGAAGTGAAGCTCTGCCAAATAAGGTGTAAATATAGACTAAAAATAATTAATTATACAGTTTACGATTAATTTACGAGATAAATCTTTTAAGCCTAATTAGTTCATGATTTAACAAGGTACTACCGTAATACATATATTAATAATGAATTAATTAGATTTAATAAATTTGATGTCTCGTGGTTTAATACGGATTCTATCATTTATTTTTTAATTAGTATCGAACATGACACTCGACGTGACACCTTTGACGTCCTAGATTTAAATAAGGGCAAAGAAAGCCGGAGCGGAGCTGGCTACCCGCTGAGGCGGCAGCTATGGCAGGCAGGGGTGGGGGCCGCCGGGCGCATAGTAAAACCCGAGGAAATGGCAGATTGGCAGCGAGAAGCACGTCCGAGAGGGCAGGCACAGGCAGGCAGCGATTCAGCGGGGGTGGCCAGGGGAGCTGGATCCCGTCGGAAAGCACCCCCTCCCCTCTCCGCCCTCCTGCACAATATATTCGCCCACCATCGCCACAACTTGCACGGGGCCGATGACTGCCCTCCTGCACAATATATTCGCCCACCATCGCCACAACTTGCACGGGGGCCGATGACTAGATGCACTGCATCGGTGCCTCCAATGTTCAACCCCCTCTGTCCTCGCCTCTCTCTCTCTCTCTCTCTCCTGCCTGTCTTTGGCTCTCTACGTCTGTGTGTCTCCATCGTCGCTGCGTGTATCAGGTTGACGGCCAGTCACAGGATCGGTTCCTCAATCCTCTGCGTCAATCGAGAATTTTTTTTATTTTTAACATTTTTTTAAACTAATTTTAAATCTAACCCTCTTTAAAAAAATTTCTCAAAACTTACACTTTTGGCCGCGCCTATTTCTCTGGCGCGACGAAATGCCTGTGCCGCGTCATGCATGGTGGCGCGGCGAGAGGATGACGTGGCGACGACCGGGACGCTGACCGGTGATATGATAGGGTCTGCCGCGCCACCGATCTTGGCACGGCGCCGCCGCGTCATCCCTCACAGCACGGCAGGAGAGGCCAAGAGAAGTCGACGCCTAGGAGGCCAGGAGTGGACGACGCAACGTCTGCACTCCGGAGACTGCAGACGCTCCCCGTGAGCGCCCCATGGCTGGGTCCACGTGCCAGATCCCATGTGCGTGTCGCCATAAAGAAAGACACATCGTTCGATCAGATTCCCTTGTGACCATAAATAAAATAACATGGACCACGACGCCTGCTCAACCATGTGGCCACAACCGCTAGCGCTTGCTGCAGCTCTGACGAGACGACGCCTCCCTCGTGAATCATGATGGTGGTCATCCGTGTACACACAGAGACGCTCGCTCGTGATGCACATAGCCTAACCATCTATGTCCATCCCATATGTGAGCACGAACGATCACTGCTCATATATAGTTGCTCCTCCTATGATCCTGTCATCCACCGCTCATAATATAATATAATATATGTGATGGTCATGGCCAAGCACTTATAAGCCCCGTTGCAGTGGAGGACATATTATATTATATTATGAGCCGTGGCTAATAGGAGTATATATATATATATATATATATATATGATTGCTGGGTTGAGAACTATATATGGTGGGTGCTCGATCTCTTCCTTGTATATTCTTTCAGTTAATAAAGGGTTGGTCTAGCTCTTTTCTGGAAGAACAAGGAATTGGGTGCCTTTTGCCTCCTACCTTTACGAGTTTTTCTTCACTTTCTCTATGGCTTTTACCAGCTTTAATTTCCTGCTGATAAAGTAATTTACACGTATGTCTTACGCTTAAGCAGGTGCCGATCCTTCAGCTGTCTGAATATCTGATCATCGTGTCGCTTCATGTGCTGATGACATATTTTTCGCCGAAACTGCTGTGCTAACTAGATCTGGCCTGATTCGGCGATCGAGCAGTCAGAGTTCATGAGATTGAGTGCTTCAGCTCCAAGACTGCAGGCTACCTAACAAGCTGTGTGCACTGCATGCGTGCCTTGGACTTGAAGACGGCACACGCAAAGGGCAAGGTATCGACTGAACCGAACGCTCTGGTCCGGGTCCGATCCTCGTGTTCTTGAGCCCCAGAAACGATGAGCACCGGCCGGAGGACATCCAGCAGCTGATCAACAGTGCCACTAGTAGCCCCAACCGCAGTAGTCCATCCGCCGCGCCCAGAGACATGGAGAGCGGCGGCGGCGGAAGCGCGTCCTCGTCGCGCGCTTCGACGTCCGACCAGAGGGCCGCCCACAGGGAGGAGGAGCGGGAACCTCCTAGCCTCTGGTCCAGGTACTTCTCGCTCCCGGTTCTGCTGCTCATCGGCGTCACCGCGTCGCTGGTGATCCTCCCGCTCGTGCTCCCCCCGCTACCGCCGCCGCCGTCGATGCTGATGCTGGTCCCGGTGGCAATGCTGGTCTTGCTGGTCGTGCTGGCGTTCATGCCGACGTCGTCGAGCGTCCACGGTGGGAGTGGGACGGGGCCGACCTACATGTAGATAATCGCATTATCTTTTTTTTTTCTCTCTTTCTTTTGCCCTTTCGCTTGGATTTTGTGATAGAGAGAGGTAATGGGATGGATCAATAGGTCCTCAGCTTCTGCACTTCTCAATCGTACAATGTCTCTGTTCGGCTAATTAATTTGCGTAGTTTATACCGCGAGTATATATGCTTATACTAGTCACAGTAAATTCAGAGAACGTTAAATTATTATTTTTTTATTTGTTCAAGTTCTCATCATTTATGCACTCTGATATGATATATTCTAGATACAACACACAACATTTGGTTGGTTTAACAAACTACACTATTACAGTTTCTTTCACCGGACGGGTCTACAAATTCAGACTGTTACATGTAAATTTCCAAGGCCATATATCAATTTCCAGGTGGGTAGGTGATCGACCGTGTGCTACATAGGCGAGCGAATACTACCAGCTCACCATGAAGAAAAAAATAATACTTTTTTCTGATGATAAATAATGTATATTGCATTTTCTTTTTCAAAGACATTACGCGTGCAGACCTCTTGTAAACGTAATACGGTAATAATACACTCACGACCTCCTTTCACCAGCGAACAAATGTCATCACGGCCGAAATCATCCTTCACTGTCGGTTTTTATCTTTGTTGGTGAAAGTGGTCGGTGATGAAAAGCTAACCATCTTCGGATCAAACACAGCACCATTGTGATGAGTTTTTCATCACCGCCGTCCGCCGGCGGACCTTATCAAGGATTTGTCTATGACCTTATTATCACCATTGGATCAAACCCTTAGGCTTTAACCATTCGGCTGGGCTCACCTCGAGTCAAAAGTCAAATATTTTCATGCTTGAAAAAAGTATTTTACCTTATTTTGGGAAATTGTTGATAGTAGGCGGTCTGAAAGGCCTGTATAACTCTATCGTAGACTGTTATAGTTTTGCATTCGATGCCAGGAGAAAGAGTCATTTCACGTTGCTTTTAACACCGTTACCTTGTCAAACTAACGGAAGGGCCAAGAACCAAAACGAAATTTGTTTATGGCCAAATAAGCAAGTTTAATCGAAAAAGGGCCAAGAAACTATGCACAACTTTTTTTAAAGCCAAAGAACTAATTTTCTCATGTAACTTTCTCATGGCTTTGCCTTAGGGCAAAATGCACGTCCGTAAAGCTGCCTACAATATCAACGTTCAGATATCATACTTGTACAAAACAGAAAGGCATTGGATCGGAATTCCGTATTGAATAATATACTCTCCCTACATTAAAAAAAAATATGATTTTTATTTTTTGAGAAGTCAAATAATTCTAATTTAAAGTAATCTGTAAAAAATATCACTACTATTTATGAAATCAAATAAATATCATCAGAATAGTCATAAAACATATTTTAAAAAATGTTTAGAAATATAAATATTAATACTATTTTTATAAATTTAATCAAATTTAAATTTTTTGAATCATCCAAAATCTAGAATTGTATTTTTTCGATGGAAAGGAGTATATTATAGGTTACTAGCAGTTTCCAGTGGAGCAGCAGTGGTCAAGGTCCATTGTTTAAATACTTTTTTAGGCCGATCTACTGGATGCAGTTCCAATCCATGCCTCAAGAGAGGTCTCATTCTATGCTTTTTGAAAATTCACTGTCCACCTAGATTCTAAGTCCTCTTAATACGGGTGCTCGCATTTTCCTATATTATTCCAGGATTTAATGGCGCTATGCTTTCAGTGGTAGGTGACGTCTCCGTCGATAGCGAGTCGCCTGCGGTGACTTCATGAATTTCAAGATCTGCCGGGTCGATCCTTCGGAGGTGCTCATAGAGATAGGGTTTACGTACATGTATTCATAGAGGTGAGTGTGCATACATGTGTTGGCGTCTACGTTGTACTGTGTAATTCTCAAAAAAAATCTCTAAAAAAAATACCATGGCTGAAAAATCATAGCTTTATGGTCTACTACTAACATTATTTCCGACAAATCAAAATAATCCTATTTACATAATTTTTCCAAACCACGGAAAAAATGAGTCTGTCCATTGTACAACCGTGTGTTTCAGTAAAAGCTAGCACATGGTTGTTTTCTGGCTGCAAAACACACGATTTGTAACAGAGAAAAAACCATGTGTTTTAGCACAAGCTAGCACATGGTCGTTGGTTGCCTGCAGAACACATGATTTCTAACAGAGAAGAAACTGTGTGTTTTAAAACAAGCTAGCACACGGTTGTTGGCTGCCTCTAAAAGAATGGATTTTTAAAGAAGACCCACGTAGAGGAAAATATGTTGTAATTTCTGTGCAACTGAAGAGTAAAACAGTACAGCCCATTAACTAAAATGATAAAATGGCCCATTAAACAGCAGGAGCCCATAAGAAAAGCCCAAAATCATGAATACATAGGAATATAGCATATAGACTTGGGAGACAAGCAAAGCAAAAAAAACAGATCTGTTGTGCGTGGGGAAAGCCTCTGCTCTGCTCACGCAGAGCAGGGAAAGGGGCAGACATCAAATTGCAAAGAAGAAGAGTAGAAAATTTTAAGAAGAAGCACTACAAGACTGATCCATACCTCATCAACAAAGGTTAGTATCCCAATCTTTTGAATCTACTTTCTGAAAAAGTAAAAAAAATAGCAACTTAGATCAAAGACTCAGAGAATATAGATCTATGGAAAAGACATTCAGGATGGCAAAGATGGCATGCTGCTTGTGCTTGCTACAACAACAGGGTGTGGCCCTGGTTGCTCAGTGTGCACAAGAAGCAGGTCCAGCACTTGGGGGTTGTGATGTAGTCTAAAGGTACAAACTAGCCTACAGAAATAAAAAGAAACCAAGCCAAAAGTCTACTAGCTTTTGCACCATCTTACAAAACCACCTATGGTGTACATAGAAATAAAGACAAACTGGCACACAACCACACAAGCATGATAAAAAACCTTGATGACTCATACCTACACATATAGCATTGTGTAGAACTGCGTGTCCTTTTACATCTGCTTTCATTAGATCAACACCATGATCAAGTAGATACTTCACAGTGGATATAACACCTGACTATACAGAGGCCACAAACGGTGTTGCACCTACACAAGAAAAACATAAAAGTGCAATTTATATAACTCACACTGTTAGGTGCCAAAGAGTTACACATATGAGAGCATACAATTTCCAAAAGCACAAAAAAGCTACAATAAGAGTTATATGTATGAACCTCCACTTGCAGCCATATTTTGATCATACCCTAGTTCATCAACCAATTATTTGCAGACATACAAATGGCCCTGGCATGCTGCTGGATCACAATTTTCTATGCAAAGTGCTCAATCACCATTTCCTACATAAAATTGATGCTCTAACTTTACACTAATGACATCATTTATTTCTAAATGCTTGTGCTTGCTCCAACAGTAGGGCATGGCCCTGGTTGCTCACTGTGCACAAGAAGCAGATCCAGCACTTAGGGGTTGTCATGTGGTCTAAAAGGCTAGAAACACAGAGAGTATAGTGCAAAACAGAGAGCATGAGATCACACACACATGTAACTAGCAGAAATCACACACACACAAATCGAATTTTCTGGGCCAATTTTCTAAAATTAATTATGCAGCCACACCACTCAGCAATCCTCAACTAATCTACAACTAAAATTATAAATATATCTGTTATGCATTTGCTATATTCCTATTGTAAATAAATTACAGAACAAAAATAAGGAAATTGCACATTTGACATAGTGCAACTTGTACTTTCTGCTAATGCAATTATACTATACATGTATATAATTTAAAGATCCAACTCATGCAAGTATTGCTACTTGTACAACTATCAATTCAACTACTAGTTTTGATGTGGTGCAGGGACAGAGGTGGCTAGGAATGGCTATAATCTCACATACTAATTCTTTATGATGCTTCAACTTTATCCTAATGACATATCATCATTTATTACTAAATGCAGGCAAAGAATAGGGCAAAATTGAGACTGGAGTAGGAAGTATTATAAATCATTGAAACTATGGATGGGCATAACTTTCAGATAATATAAATGTCAATAATTAAATTTTGGTTTAGGAAAATCCTATTTTCCATGGACTTGCTAGAAATACAGGTGAATCCTCCAAAATTTAACATTACTAAATGATGTACATCATATACACATGCAAGTGAAAACTCAGAACCAAACTTTAATCTCACAACAGCAGATAGGATAAAGAAGTGGCAAGAAACACTATAATTCATGTACCAGACTAACCAGGTACTAGATTAAAATATTGCTTCAAATAATCATTTACTCAGTGCAACTAGACATATGTCAATAAGTATATATGTTCAAATAGATGCAGGGTGGACCGAATGCATTTGCAAATTCTATGTTGACAAATCTATCAAACATCAGTTATAATGACAGAGATGAGCATAGTAGAAACACCAATTATGATGTAGAAATACTTACTAGATCTGATGTTGACCTTTCAAATACCTACAGATATAAAAAGGTGAGCAAAATCATTGCTTAGATTAAAAAATGCCAAGATAAGAAGGTTGTTTTTCGACTAAAATATATTTTAATGCAAGGAGGCTACACTGAATTTATGATGGAACAGATCAGGAACTCTCAGGAAGATAATCAGACTGACTAGAATACGTAGGTAAAATTTATAATACCAGTATACAAAAATTATAATTCAGACATATGCAAATTACACATATATGTGCAATGTAATTTCAGCATAACAGGACTATAATTTCAATGCTTCGTTATAAACTGTGCAGTAACATGAAGGGATACAAGGATCATTAACAAAGATGATACTTAAAAATGACAGGAATGAGGTAAAACTATATTATATATGCTTGTCAAACTAGTTATGTTATATTATAAATGGTAACCATTCTCATTATCAAACAAATAAAATAGAATATGAGCCTTGAAGATCTGGATGGAATGTTTGGACCACAAACTGACTGGTCAATATCAGAGTCAAGAATGTCATATGAGGTAGATACAGACAGTTGAGCC